GTCACTTCCGACGGGGGCCATGAGACCTTCTGGACCAGAAGTGTGAGGGGACGGTTTCCAAATGCTCCTCTCAGAAGTTCACGACAGGACACACTGCTTATTCCAGATAACTGCCAATAAAGAACCTGCTAAGTGCTTGTATTTCATACTGACCGGGGGAGGGAGGGGTGGGAGGGCAGGTTAAAGGCCAGTATGTGGTCTCACCAGGGCGGCGAACCCCGTGCGCCTGGGATACAGGAAGGTGGGAGCAGACTCCCACCAGGACCCTCACCCGCAGCGCCTCCGCGGCCAGGCTGAGGAGCCCGAGTGGCAGTCCGCAGGCAACAGGGACGGGAAGGAAGGCTTAGCAGGTGCGGTTCGCGAACACCTCCCTAACCACCCCGTTACATACCTCCTGTTGTTCTCAAAGGGACTGCAGGAGACTTTACCAGTGCGGCTGCTTGACAACATTAGAAGGAGAAATGGCAGAAAAACAAGGAGAGGTCTGGTATGCTGTAGACAAACAGAACACATGTCCATAAGGGCTTATTTGCAAACGAGAAGGCATCACTTGGCTCTATTCCTCCTAGTAGCTAATAATGCACAGAAGGGCAGGACTGGTAAAGAGGTAACGTACCCAGAAAAAAACCAAACTCAATTACCCGTAAGTACAGATCATCTGGACTCGGATGACAGAAGAGCTGTTCCCATAGTTTCAGGAGCAGAGCACGATGCGAAAGGACCGACAAGATCTGTAAAGCAAAATGCTAGTTTCTGGGGTCGTTTACCGGTACCGCCTTTCAATATAAACAGCAGTATCGCGGCCAGCTTCAGTGAACAGCCAGTCTACGAGGAGCCAGTCAAAGCTAAAATTGGAAAGCACCTAAGGGGGTGCATGGTAAGCATCTTCCTGTCGCGCTAACCATTCAGACAATCCTTCTCGGAGCTGAATTCTTTTTCTTTTTTTTTTTTTAATTTTTTTTTTTTTTTTACATTTATTTATTTTTGAGACAGAGAGAGACAGAGCATGAACGGGGGAGGGGCAGACAGAGAGGGAGACACAGAATCGGAAGCAGGCCCCAGGCTCTGAGCCATCAGCCCAGAGCCTGACACGGGGCTCAAACTCACGGACCGCGAGATTGTGACCTGAGCTGAAGTCGGACGCTCAACCGACTGAGCCACCCAGGCGCCCCAAGCTGAATTCTAATCAACGACGGTGGAGGTAGAGGGCAAGGGTGGGGAGAAAGTGGAGACGGAAGACTGAAACCTCTCCGTTTCAAGAACAGGTCCTTTTAGGACTTACAGATCAGGTTTCTGGGAAAGACTTCATTTGAAGTAAGGGGTTTAAATGGCTAAAACAGATATGGAAAATCCAGTCTGAGTTCCCGATTAAGAGCGTACGATGCCCAACAGCAAGCCAATCTGGGATAAGGCCGAGACACCGGCCCCGACGCCCTAGAGCACAACCAGGCCGCCAGCCCCATCAGGCGGCCTCTCCGTCTCTGGCGGGAGATGCCCCGAGTGCGCACAGGTCATCGTTCCATCTGAAGTTCTCCAAACTTCTTCCCTAAATTACAAATCACATCAGAAAACCTCACACTTAGGTCTTCGTGAGCACTCTGTGAAAATGCCACGCGAGGCTCCCCCCCCACCATGGATGTGAGGGGGCTCGGTATCATACCGCCCGTCACTGCCTCCCTGTCCACACCCCCTCCGATACACTCCATAGTACCCACAGGCCTCAGCTCCTGCTGTTCGGCCGGCACCACGGCTGACCCCTCCAGGCGAGCCTGCTGGACTCGGGCGATCGCCTGACCCGGTGACCCAATCTAAACTGGGGGCGGGGTGGGGAAGAGGTACAACACCACACACCTAAAAAGATACCAAGCCGTAATCTTCTTGCAATTCCGTAAGAGTTTCCGTTCTCGTGTTCTTTCTTTAGTGAGGACAGGTGTCTGTCCAAATGTGTTCTGCTCCTTGAGTAGAATGTGGTGGCTGGTAACTTCTCGTGGGACAGTCACGTTTCTACTTCTTGGTACCCTGGCTCCTGCACTGTCTCTAAACACAGTAAGAGTGACCATCTGGCTGAAATCCACACAACTTTTGGCCTTTAGTAGGCTCGTCCCGCACAGAGGGGACTCCGGTACATGAGAACTACCGACTGATACCCGGTCCCCCGGAGCCTTAGATTAGCATACCCCCCGGAACGGCACCGCTGTCCAAGGGGCTTCTGGATCAGAGCGCACTCCGCCAGCGTCTGAACGTACAGAACGCTCACTTTCCTCCCAGAAGCTGTCACTCCTGACAGAACTCAAGACGTGCAACACTGTCTGACGTGCTTTTCGTCCCCACCTTTATTTTTGAGAAGTTGTGAGGACTTGTAAATGGTCTAAAACCCAGGGAGAAAACACCTCACCTGCACCACGATTTTGCAAGAAATATTTTTGCTTCCTTCCCTCTTCCTTGTGGAGTCACATTTGCTGCAAGAGCCAATCTTTTGTGCTTAGACAGTAAGAGGTATGTGTCATCAGGCAGGTCGCGTTTGATGTAAATGCATTACCTGATTCAAATCTAGAAATCTAGAAAGTACACTAGCCACATCAGGCTACCGAAAATCTGAAATGGGGCTAGTGTCTATAGCTGACCAGCACAGGAGGTCAGGAGAGTTAGGGATTCCCATTCTACTACTAGAGAAATGTTGCCCACAATACCCACCTGAAAATACCTTACTTTGTGATTTCCAAATTCCATGTTTGTTTCTTTTCTTTTCATTTATTTTGAGAGAGAGAGAGAGAGAGAGAGAGAGAGAAAGAGCGCGAGCTCGAGCAGGGGAGGGGCAGAGAGAGAGGGAGACAGAATCGCAAGCAGGCCGCATGCATGCTGTCGGCGCAGAGCCCAAGGCGGGCCGATGTCAAGAACCATATTATGACCTGAGCTGAAATCAAGTCAGACGCTTAACCGACTGAGCCCCCCAGGAGCCCTGTGATTCCAAATTCTTAATCCTAAAGCCTTAAAATCTATTACTGAGGATCTGGAACACACTGCCGGGTGCTCCCTCCTCGCTACAGCAGCAGCCGAAGTTTAACAGTACAATATCCTGCAAGTATCGCTGACACCTGGCTGCACGAGATCGTGTATCAAATCATAACGTCTGTTTACAGAGGACAGGCGCTGAGGCACGGACCAAATCACATGCTCAATAAAACATGCTGTGAGAAGGCACAGCTAGGATGTGACCCCATGCAGCCAGACTCTCGGCCAGAGTACCGAACCGTGTTAACTGACTCGTGTTATGCGGCCCTCCGCAACCCCGGGGCTCTGTGCTCGCACTTACTGCAAAACGCAACAACCAAAGAAGTGAAACCTGCGTGTACATTCTGGGTGGGACTCTGTTCCGGAAGTGGGCGCGGGCTCGGCGACAAGGCAAGGTAGAGGGTGCGTGAGGCAGAGGCAGGGGGGTGGGAGGGGGGGCCTGTCGGGTGGTGCTCCCTGCACCCCGCACAGCACTCCTCCCTCAGCCCTGTCCTCTACCTGCCCCGGGGCACAAGGACAGGACAGAGAAACTCCAGAAGCTTCTCTTGCCCACGTGTGTCCTTTCTGCCTAACCTCGTCTTCAACATCCAAGTTTCATGAGGATGTTCTAAAGGCCTCCTTCACCTTGAATTTTCTCTATTTCTGACACTCATCTCAGAAGATGGGAGAGAAGAGACGCGAGGCAGCACTGGGCTCGGCCTGCAGACTTGAACCTTAGCGCATGTCAGCACTAAGAACAGGGAGGTTGTAAGTTTCCAAGGCTTCTGGAAGATCAGGAATCAGACGACCCGCGGAGGGTCCCCCACGGCTGCGCATCCACTGGCCAAGCCAGGGGGAAGGACACACCGTGACCTGGCGTGTTCCACACTTCTGAACAGACTGGACCATACACCCTTCCTCCCTGCCCCAGACCCTCCAGCCACGTTCATTTGAGTGCCCACATCCGGGGTACACTCTGCGGGCTCTCTAACGCCTTCGCAATCACCTCACCGGTTCCAGAGACTCTCGATTTTGACTTTCCTTCAGCCAAAACATCTGTGAGGTGAGAGGCAAAGTAAATTCGCCTTACTGCAAATGCCATCCCTTTCCCTGAAGCCTCCCTGAACAGTTAATAAGACGTGACACGTTTTTATCTACACGCTCATCACTCGGCTTCCAGCAACGTCTTATATTTTAATCACCTCTTCCATCCGCACCACGCATTCCCCTAAGCGGGGAGGTCATCCCGTTGAGAGTCCTACTCCTAAATCCACATAGGAAAAAGGCCAATACAAAACACAAACAAAACTAGGGGAAAGTAGGAAAAAAAAAAAAAATCAGCCCCCATCCCTGCTGGCCTCCAACTGATTAAGAATTTTTTTCTTCAACAGGTACTTACATTATTATCAGAGCACTTTTAAAACACAAAGTTGGCAAGTCTAAAAGACTTCCAACTGCATTTAGGGACCAAGAGTTCCTTTATTTTTAAATACATGCTCTTTCTAGTTAAACAGAGCTATTCAAAAGTTACTAATTGTAATTTACGTTATGAAATTATTCCCAAGAGCAATTTCCTACATTAATATGTAACGCTGTATTTCCAAAATACATTTCTATGGTTGTCCGTTAAAAACATTAATATTAAAAAGCTGAAATCAATTGCAAAATAAACAGCAATCTGAAGAATTCTGACCTTTTGCTTCACCATAATACGATTAAGTAATGCAGATTCCAATGCTTAAAATAATTCTGAAAAAAAGATGCATGGTCACTAATAATACTTACTTATTAAGTGTTACTCTCAAAAATATTTTATAAATAAAAATCTCCCACCCACCCCACCCTTAGTATCTTACCCACCAGAAAAAAACAGACCCTAAAAAACGTCTCATCATGCTGCCTTCGGTGTCTCTCCAAACACTTCAGATTTAAACATTTTAAGCGACTACCCCCATCACACAGGGTCACAACACAGGGTCACTCAGGGCCATGGGCTTGAGTCTACTCACACAGTTGAAGCTGATTGGCAAACAGCTGTCCTGTATCTTGAGACAGACATTAGCTTCCTGCCTTCCCTATCCTCATAAGCAGCTACTTAAAGTTTGGGTTTTATGCAAGAAAACATTTTAAAGCCTTCAGTGTTTTACTGCAGCAGACTTCAGATTCATTCCTGTAACACATTTAACATGAAACAGAGTTGAGACAGTTAAAATTGTGTACATTTTAATTGTCTGAAATTTTAAGAAGTGCTTTCACTCTTATAGCTACATAAAAAGGGGTGTTGAGGGAAAATTAATGAAAACACTTCACTTGGTATTTGACACCAACGTGCAATACAGCAATACACAACTTTACCATACAGATTTTTCTTCACCTGGCCACAGGTTAGGTGGGCAAGGATTACTTTTTATACGATCATTTATACCCCCAAATAAGCAAAACTAGGTATTTTTGTGTCTCTAAAGTTTAATTTATTTAGCATAAACGTCCAGCAACAGAAGGAACAACTTTTACAAACAGACAGTCAATGGGGATGACTTCAGTGCCCCAAGAATATCCCTTGGGACCCTCCTGGGTGGGGAGAATGAGATTCTGGGTCCTGTTTCGACTGAAGTAAGAGCCGTATTTCTAACATTTGCTATGAAAGTTTGCAGCACATTTACCGACCAATTCACATCTCTATAGCAGCATTTCTGCTACAGGTTTACCAAGCGTTAGAAGGCTTGTCTGGAAAATAAAACTGCATTCAATCAAAATGTCCTAGAATACCTGGATATAAGACATGGGCCTCAAATTTCTACAGAGAATTTTAGTTAATACTTCAGCATTTCACGGCATAAACTTACTATTTATATTAGCAACATGGTTAGAAACACCATGAGAAGTAACGTCCAAATACTCAATTTCACTGGCTACTTTTTAAAGTATTACTTAATGCTGAAATAAGTTACCGCACGTTTGCTTTGCTACAAAAGACAAATGTTTGTTTATAATCTACTTATATGTACATGCAAAGGTTTAAGAAATAATTCACACCTCATAAAAACTGACGGAACCCGATGGAATAACTTTCACACAAGTTAAAGTACTTGTCCGAGAACCTAACCGCGCTTCAGAACTCTTTTCAACTTGCTGATTATCACCTTAGGTTTAAATGAGCCTACAGTAGGACACAACAGCTAAAAAATAAGTTGTACCCATCTCGGGCTGTAAAACAGAAATATGTTTTCTGTCTACGAACAACAATCAACATTTAATGAGTGATTATGGTGTCACTGGCCCTGTCCCCAAATTTTACACGCACACTAATCCTCATTCCACCCTCAAAAAGGTAGGTGCAATTATTGCCAACTCTTTCTAGATCATGGAACTGAAGTCTGGAGATGCTAGAAACTTGTTTAAGATCACAGAGCTAATCAGTGACAGAGACAGGACTCGAACCCAGATTTGTCTCCCAGGCCTACTGCTCTTAAGCATCGAGCCAGATCATAGGCAATGGCAATCCACTGTCCTGGTAAAAACATACCTAGAACTGTTTGCGGATGGGGTTTCCTATGTGAAGTGTGGACACTAGTAAATGAGTGTGATCATGAAACCAACAGGGTGGTCCCAAACTCAAGAGAGCCATCTCTTAACAAGAAACGACCGTTAGAAATGGAAGGGACCGAGAGAAAAATCAAAAAGGGATGCATTCTGAAGGGCTGCTAAAGAGAAAACAGGAGCAGGCTTATCTTGGGTGGTACAAGAGTTCAGGTGTGAAGCACCGTGTGGACGTCTCAGAAGACCGGTTGCAGTTCAACATAAGACACGTTCAAATGCTTGGGGCCAAGCCTGGGTGGCTCAGTGGGTTGAGCGTCCGACTTCGGCTTAGGTCATGATCTTACGGTCGGTGAGTTCAAGCCCCGCATCGGGCTCTGTGCTACCAGATCAGAGTCTGAAGCCTGCTTCAGATTCTGTGTCTCCCTCTCTCTCTGCCCGCCCTCCCCCCACCCGCCACTTGCGCTCTGTCTCCATCTCAAAAATAAATAAACATTAAAAAAAGATTTTAAAAAATTACATCAAATGCTCAAGAAGCCAACAGCTAGAACACGCTCCCTCCTGTAGCACTGAGTGTGTGCAATTCGGTATTTGAACCTCAACCACCACAGTAATAAATGACTCCGCCCAAATGACCAAAGCATGCTGAAATTCTTTGTGGATGAAAGTCTGATAGGGAACACTGTCTATAGGGAAAGTCTGATACGGAACAGAGCAGCCTCAAAGTTAGCTCCCCACAGATGACTTACTACAAAATGAAAAATAATAAACCTTTAAGTGGAAGAACCTGGAAGATACCACACTGATCCAAAGACCACAAGTTAGTTTCCCCGATGAGGGGACAGACGGACACGTGCCCCCTGACACGAGGCACCGAGAAGCACACAGCACTAACGTGGTGTCCCCGCTGACTCTGCGTTTCCCAAAGGTATTCAAAAGGACACATCAGACAAACTCAAATTGACAGAGTCTGTAAATAAATGGTCACTCTTCACAAAATACCAACGTCAAGGAGGTAAAAGCTAAAGCGTTCCTGATGAAGGGACAATAAAGAGACAAAGTGACCAAATGCCACAAATGATTCTAGGCTGGATCCTGGACCGGGAGAAAAATTAATGAAGAGCATTTCTGGGAGAAATAGAGAAATTCGGAAGTGGACCATGTATCAGAGAATTCTATTATTAATCAGTGTTAAATCTGCCTTATTCGAGAACTGAACTGTCTTTGAAAATAAAAGAATGGCCTTGTCAGAATATCTGCATAAGCCTTACGTGGGAAAAGGACATGATGCGTGCAACTTACCGTCAAGCCATCCGGGGGAAAAAAAAGAGAATGACAGAGTGAACGTGGCAAAGAGTTAACAGTGGGTGAACCTTGCCAAGGGGTATATGGGAATTCTTTGTGCTATTAATGTAACTTTCCATAAACTTGGAATTATTTCCAACCATTTTTAAATGTTTACGTTGAGAGAGAGAGAGAAAGAAAGAGACAAAGAGTGCAAGCTGGGGAAAGGCAGAGAGAGAGGCGGATGCAGAATCCGGAGGAGGCTCCAAGGTCTGAGCTGTCAGCACAGAGCCCGACACAGGGTCCAAACCCACAAACTGTGAGATCACGACCTGAGCTGACGTCGGACGCTTCACCGATTGAGCCGCCCAGGCAGCCCGGAAATTATTTCAAAATAAAACCTGAGAAAGATAAATATTCGAGGCTGATGTTCTAAGGATTCCGAATACCTAACAAGAAAGAGTATCATTTTTCCGATCTGATGTCCGTCCACTCAAACTCCAATCCGACGGCAATAATTACAGTAATCCCTGATTTCCAATTTGGTGAATTATTATAGTGCTCTCACGTCAAACATCCAGCGGACTGCTAAATGACACGTGCCATTCCACACTGATGACAAGGTGTGGCTCAGTGGATCGGAGTCAAGGGCACGTCACCTCCTCCCAACCTTCCCCAAACCATGCCGCGGTCACAGGACAGACAGTCCTCCCCCGACCCCCCGAGCCCCTGCCATCTTCCAACTGGGGGTGCAGCTGCAGGTGAGTGTCCCTTCCAAATTAGGTTAATTTCTGCTCACGCCAGGCAGCAAAGCAGAACCAAAGTAAGAGGCATGTGATCAACAACACGCAAGGAAAATATTAAAACGCCCTTCCCCAAACAAATAAACTCCAAATGCCAGTAAAGAGCTGATGAAGCACCCATTTACTAGAGAACACTTGGAAAAGACAAGGTAACAACGTCATCACTGAGAAGCTGGCCCACAAGCGGCTAATGCACAAACATGTCCGTGGCACGGAACCATGAAATAAAGCTGGAGGGAAAAAGAAAGAAAACAGAGAGGGGACTATGAACGAGAGAAGGCGTGGGAAAGGAGACCACCCTGATGGCCACACACCGCCACACCACCAATGCCCAGCTCCCCTTCCTCCCCAGCGGCCCCACATATCTTCCCTGCGCATTGTAACTTCCGTGCAATCTTCCACCATCCTCTTCTCAACTAGTGGAAGGGGTTTTACAAGACTAACAGCTGTAGAGCACAGCTTTGACCGCTGTACGGTTATTTGCATCTTATACCCACACTCCTTTTTTTGCTTGTCAAGAGGCACAGAACAATAGTCTCTCTACTGGGAAAAGCACACAAACAATTCCCTTTGGAAAGGAGTGGAATGATAGCACGCATCACCTGGCTCACAGTCTAACAAAGACAGGAATTGGAGGGGTAGATACCCAGCAAAATCAGAAAGTCAAGGCTGAACAAGGATGACCCAGGAAGAAGCGATGAATTTTAGTCTCCGATACGCAGTATCTTCTGCATCAGGTATGAGCACCAGGAGCACAACATTTACTGTACTTTAGCTCATTCCAGATCCGCTCCGTTACAGAGCTACGGCCTTCTTTGACCTGCTCTCTATCAGCTTAATCTCTTTAACCCGATGGCATACCTTGTTTAAAGGAGGCACATTAACAGGCCATCGCAGAATGTCTAACTGCAAAACGGGCAAAGATATTTTATCCCAACCAAAATTCCTCTGTTCTCTCCCATTTTCTCAGGCAGCACGTTATCAAATCCTCTGCCCACTGGACCTAAGTACTAGCTTTCCAAATTTTCCTCTGATCTTAATTCAAATGCCAATCTCTGATTGCTGCCGGTTCATGCTCCTCTTTTTTTAAGTGTTTCTTTTTGAGAGTGAGAGTGGGGCAAAGGTGGAGGAGGGGGGGGGCAGGGGCAGACAGAGAGGGAGAGAGAGAGGATCCTAAGCAGGCTCCAGGCTCTGAGCTGTCAGCACAGAGCCCGATGGGGGTTTGAACTCTCGAACCTTGAGATCATGACCTAAGGGGAAGCTGGACGTTCAGCCACCTGAGCCAACCGGGTGCCCGGGTTGATGCTCTTTTAATACAGGAATCAGAATAATCCACACTGTGAAAGAAAGCTGATGAACTCCAATGTAAAATTAAGTCAATTTTGAACCGAAAGTCCCTAATATGTATGATTAGTATACATACGTAATCTATTTAGGAGGGCAGGAAGCAAGTTTTCAGGCATCCCTTGTTTCTAAATCAAGTCTTACCTCTACTGCCGAGGAGATTATAACATGCATGAGTCAGCAAATTAAGCTCCCTTCAGAG